TAGAGTCAAGATAATTAATGTATCATCTCTTCACATAATTACTTTTTTTTGTGATGAGAACACCTGAAATCTACTTTCTTACTACATTTCCCCCAAACACTTTTGTCAACATGTCACTTGTAAGGTATCAGTATTGTTTCCACTGTCTTCACAATCTCTAAAAAAAAAACAACAAAAAATCAGATAGAGACAAGATAATAGGCACAACAAGGGAAAGTGACAGAAAAATGACTCACTTAAGCATTATTTCCTTAGGGAAACCTCCCTTGACCCCCCTCAGGTCAAATTCCTTTGTTATTCACATTCACGGAACACTATTCCTAGCTTCAGTGTCCTTATCTGTTGGTAATTGCTTCCATGAGGACTACCATTTCGTTGATGTCTGTCTCCTGCAGTGGACTATAAATCCTTGTTTACGGAGCATGGGCCATTTTGCTCACTGGAACACACTCAGAGCCTAGTACAATGACTGGCAATCAGTGAGGGCGTGCTGGACCAATCAGTCCTCCCACCCGTTTACTCAAGTGGGGCAGACCAATAAGGTCAACCCTGCCTTTGAAGTCAAAGTGCTCAGGTGACATGCAGACTTACTCCCCTAAGCTTCTCTGCCAACTTGGCTTCAAGTATCTCCTTCCCCAAATACTAGTCTCCAAAGCCCTGCTTCTGCAAAGGACAAGCAAATGAAGGGCACTGTAGTGGCCACTGTGATGTGACACCCGTTTCCCCGTGTAGGACTGAAGGCCTGTTCCCCCAGGTGCTGGGAGTGAGGCCAGACAGCCCTGAGCTGTCAGCCCTCTGGAATTGTCCCCACGATGAGAGGCCCTTAGGCCAAGGTCACACACTCTTGGTTTTCCCAGGGCAAACCATATGCAAAGCTTGGTAGATACAGGGTATAACTTGCCCTAACTCAGGGCAGCTGGAGGGCTCCCTGTGGAACTGTCCTGAGACTGCAGCACACCCTCTGCCCAGTCCTGCTTAAGCCCTTTCCTGCCACAGGTGGTGATCCCAAGAGACCTCTCTAATAAACCCCTGCACCCTAATCTCCATCTCAGAATCAGCTTCCCAGGGAACCCAGGCAACTCCCGTGTTCTCTTGAAAATCAGCATATGGAGCTGACAAGACCCAAGGTCACAAAAATGAAGTCCCCACCTCACCTATGTGCTCCAGGAAGATAACTCATTAAAGAGACCCAGCGCAATAAAAGACACTTTCTATTCCCAGCATAAGCTTTGTAGCCCAATAGACCTAAATCTGAATCACTGTCCTACGCTTGGGCAAGATAATTAACCTCACGAAGCCTCAATTTTACCATCTGAAAAATACAGGTAATTAGTACCGACTTCATAGGTTCACTTTGTAAAATAGTTGGCACATAAGAAATATAAGCTCCTTTTCCCCCCTACAAGGCTGTGGGTATCACCCATCCCAATTTCACCTCTCCCTGGTATATAGCTTTCTCTTTGGCAGCCCATGTCCAACTGCTTACCTGCCTGTGAAATAACAAAAGCCGAGCTTGGTGGCATCTGAGTCACTGAATGAAGGACATAATAGTCACAGGGGAGGATGTCTATCTCTCCTGTCCTGGTTCTCTCCTCCAACAAACATCAGTCAAAACGCTTATCAGAGGCAGGAAGGCTGGGCTAGAAGCACATCTGTTTGCTGGCTAGAAGGCTGTTTGGACCTGCAGCTTTTGTCCATACCTCCCCCTCTCCATTCCCAAAAAAGAGAAAGCATTTCTTATAACTCAGGACCCAGGGCGATATTCATTACTTACAAAAATCCCCCCACTCCTAATAACCCTGCCAGCTTTATCTCCCCCTCTTCCCCATCATGTACTTGACCCTCCAGCCAACCATAACTAGAGATGGTTTCTCCAGCAGTCTATTGAATAAATATTGGAAGCCAAACAACAGAACATCATTCACCATTTTAAATCACGATTTGGTAGAGGGAGGGTGTGTGACAGTGGTGTGACCAGTTGGTGACTTAACAGTGGCACAGACTGAGGAACTACAAAAAACCAGCTCCCAGACAAGATAAAAACTGTGACTGCTTACATGTTTTTGCAGGTGATATTTATTATAACGTGAAATCCAACCACGTCTATTATCTATCAAAGCTTGTTTGGATTATTATTCGCTTGTAGATTTGAGATAGTCAAACCCCAGAAATGTCATTTCATTAGGCCAGCACAGTACAGGTACTGGCTATTCTGGTACAAAATCCACTATATTTGCTTTTTCCTGAATAACTAGCTCTCCCCAGCCCTGCTGGGAAGGTTTTTCTAACTAACCCACTCCACCGGCTCTTCTTAACTGTTACCTTCCCCGTGGAGTCTTCCCTGTTCTGGCCAAACAAATGGTTTCCCTGCTCAAAACACTCAGATCTCATACGTACGAGTATACCTCTTACTGTACTTACCTGTTCTACACCTGTCTAGTTATGGAATTAATAAAATACATACAAGGTGGCCCATAAACTTTTAGATGGCTCTAAGAAGAAACTCACCTATTTTGCAATCAATTATCCTCAAAGTCAGAACTCAAGGTGTAGCTGATAATGAGAAATGTTCATGTATAGAGAAAAAACTTGAAATCAATATGTGGTTCTATTCACAAATTCTGATTGGATGAGATGAAAGACACACTTTCTAAACAAATGTTATATTTTAATATCACACAAAGAAAGCTGAAAATGAAATTTACCATTACAATTTGATGCACCCAATTTATTACTATGTTTCAGAGATGAAAATCCAAGTGTGCACAAGATATGGGCATGAAAATCAGACTGGATGAGAACCCCGGTGCAAATGAAACAAGTTTAAACTACCTGACAAGTGTGAAAATCAAACCCCATCACCTATTAAGACTCTTTTAACTAGAGTAGAAATAAAAGTTGTTAAATAACGGCGGAACAAGAATGTATTTCGGAACAGAAAGTATTTGCTAGCAATTCTCGTCCTCTTTCCAAGGTAAGGTTGTCCAGAACTGACAAGAAAGTCCTTTCACACCCTGCAAAGATTTGCAAACCTGTGATTTTCTTTGACACATAAGATCAGAAAAAGAAACACTGCATGCCAAGTTGATACCAGGAAACTATGATATTGCAAACGATAAATAATGAAACATAACTACCTTTGTAAAACAAGAACAAATCATTGGCTTGAATTGAGTTCTTTTTAGAGATAAAATGTATTAAAATCGTCATATATGAGAGATCACTAACATTTTTGAACTTCATCTGAGATTCATTACATTCTTTCACATTCTCACTTAGTCAATCATCAAATCCTGACAACTTACTAAAAAGTTTCCCTAACTCCTCAGACTTCATTATCACAAACCAATGATCCTGTGATAATTTTCTGATTTTGACTCTGGTTATCTTCCCCTCAAACTTTTTTTTTTCTGAAAGAATCATTTGCATCGCTGCATTATTTAAAACTCTCCTAAACGTTCCTCACTTCCTAGAGACTAAAGACATCCCCATTTCACAATATAGTGATATGAGTATATGTTCCCAATCTTTTTTTACACAGACCCTCTGCTCTAGGCATAATACATAATAAACTCCTCTTCATTTCCCAGGACGCATCACGTTAACATGCATTTTCAGTCTTGCATTTCTGTCCCACTCTCCATGGTATACTATGCTATGCCTCTGTCCACCCATCCAAATCCTGGAAGGTAAAAACATTTACGGAGCATTTACTGTGCTCCAATTATAAATACATCGCCTCAAGTTCCACCATTTTTTCAAGCTCTTTCTTTCAGTCTGCAAAGCAGATGGCCTTAATGCATCTCCTCCATTTAGCATGCAGTAGAAGAGAGAAACGCTCATTTACTCCACCGTTTCAAGTCATACTGATATAGCTGTGACAAGTCCAATGAGTGCCAGAGATTAGGGCTGGGTTGAAGATAAGAGATCATTCATTCATCACATATCTGCTGGGCAATTACCATGTGCCACACACAATTCTGGGTGTGACAGACAAGGATTGCTATTCTCGATGCTATTCTCATGCAATGTAGCTGTGTGCGCAAGTGCTGGGGACAGGGAGGTAACCAACGCTGAACATATAAACACAGCATCACTCTAGAGTCTAGACTATGAAAAGCGCTTGGAAGACTGTAACACAGGTTTGACAGGCTAACCAAATGATCATAGGGAGCTATTTTAAAGAGGTGGACAGGAAGGGCCCCCAGATTTCATTGATGAGAACTCAGCCAAGTGATACAAGTTTTTAAAATTTAACAAACCATAGGTCCCTACGTTTTACTTAGGTTCAAAGATTCATAATGACATGTGCACATACATATATCTTATGAAACTCTCCTAAGACACAACACTCCCCAATATGAAAGAGTCAAGCACAACCATGTGCTAAGGGCTGATCAAGATTTGCTGGCTTTACCAAAAAAGCCATTTTTGACGGGCAGTTTCAGGAGACCCACGCGTGGTCTGCAAGAACTCTCCAGGCCCACGGCGTGAGCTCAGAACTCAGCTCTCCTGAGAACGCCACTAAGGGCCATCGCCCCAAGAGGACACCGTAAGGCGACGCAAGACATCCGTTCTACTTTCTGGCGGAGAAAACTGTACAGGCAGCAGACACTCTCAGCTTCCTTTACAAGGCTCAAGACTAATATCCGTTTCACCGAGAGAAGATGCGGAAATTCTTCAGTCTGGGGTAAAAATGCACCGCTCGCATCGGGGTCACCCAGGCAGGGCCCCAGGAAGACCAGGTCGTGGGGCATGCAGACCCCTGCCAGGCAGGTTCGGACTCTTCCTTGGCTGAAAGACGCTGTGTGTGGTTCCCTACACTACTTCCCTCGTCTGCAAACGAGCGTAACAGTGAGTCCTGCCTCTCAAGACAGGTGAAGCTCCAACGAGACGACCGCAAAGAACTTTAAAAGGTGTACGGAGTGGGACCGTCTCAAGCCGCTGAAACTCCTTCCGCGGACCAGGAGGAGCGCAAGGCGGAGGCGCGCGGACATTACCTTCACCAGCCACACTCCGGTGTTCTGTTTGGCGCCCGTCAGGTCAAGCTCCCCACGCTCCGCCATGGTCTGTCGCCAGAGGAGGCGTGCGACCCAGAGCAGCGACTTCGGGAGAGCGTCCGGAGCCCGAGGCAGGCCGCGGCGGGAGACCGACGGGGAAGTGCCGGCGTCCACCTGCCAGGAAGCTGGGAACCCAGGGAAAGAGGAACACGCCGCCGGCAGCCTGGAACTGCGCTTGCGCGCACCACTGTCGGTACGGCGCGCGGGTGCAGACAAACTTCCTGGTTCCGCAACTGTTTTGAGTGGGCGTGGCTACTAGTGCAGCCTGTGTCCGAGTGATTAAAACCTATAGGGTGCAACGGGCCAAAACGTCAGCAATGCATTAAAAGACTAGGTCAGCAGAACTGAAGAAACTGTCGAAAGAGAAAAAAGGGGTTCAAAGAGACAAAGGCTGTCAGTATATCTCTAACCCTGGCCAAGGAGAGACAGCATTTGGAGGAGAGAGTGCTGGAGTAATAAACAGATTAAGTGAATTAGCACAAGTGAGCACTGGGGTCGGACTGAGTGGCCCTGGATATACTAAAAACATGCTGTATCTAGACCTAGAAAAAAAAAAAGCAGTGTCTCAACTGAGAAGCTACCTGAGCACCTCTGATTAAGCAAACCAAGCACACCCTTTTCAGACTCCAAAACCCAGAGTCCGTATAATTAGGTCAGTGACAGTAGACGTGTAAGAGATGAGCCTGGTTGTTAAATTCCACTGCTTAAACAGTTTTCTCTCTCACTTCTTGCCTCTAGAATAAAATTCAATGCTCTCTACACAGGCCCTCTTAATTTGACCCCTGCCAGTTAATCCACCCACCACACATCCAACCATACTGAACCCATCAGACCTCCCCGAATGTGTCAGAATCTCCGTTATTTCAGGGCCTCTGCACGCTTGATCCTCATTAGTCAGATGCCCTATTCTTCACTCTCCCCCATCCACTCCTCTGATTGGCAAAGTTCTACTTAGGTTTCAAGACTAATAGAAATATCAACTCCCCCTGAGGAAGTTCGTTTTGCTTCACATATCACAGTGTGTGATATTTCCCACGACTCATTATAATATACATGTTTACATGCTGCCTTTGCTTTCTAGACTATGAGCTCCTCCTACGCAGAAATAGGGCTTTTTTCATCTTATATCCACAACATCTAGCAACATCTATTGTCAGATTTCAATAGGCTTTGGCTGAATGAACATTCACTAAAAAGAAACAGACAGTAAGATATTGTAAGAATGGCAACTAATATTGCATTGAATCACGCATCCGATCTATGCATATAATTGAACAAATTCCATGTCTGTGAGCATTTAAAAAAAGCCATTCTGTCTCTGAAATCAGCTGGGAAAACTAATAGGAAAGATGGAAGACCAAGCACGCATTGAAAAGGAAGATTGCATTCTTGTGTCACAGCTTGGGAAAGAGCCTCAAAACATATAAAGGACAAGGGGATGAAAAGAGCTGCTTTAAGCTTTAATCAAATAGAAGGGAAAAAATGTTAATAAAAGACCCAAAGAGAAGGGAACTAAGCTAGCCTGGAGCATTCCGGTAAGAGACTTTAGAGTAGAGAATTAGGACCTTGGCCTTGATTATGGGTCACGTGTGTGTGTGTGTGTGTGTGTGTGTGTGTGTGTGTGTGTTTACAGGGATTGGGGGAGAATAAATACCTAAAGAAGAAGAAGAAACAGCTAAGGAGAAAAGAAAAGGTGACTATTTAAAAATGATTATATAGGGAAGAAGAAGAAAAAAAACCCCAACAATGTATTGAGCACCTCATCCTCACACACTGTTGAATAAAGAACAAACTCCCCTTATCTCTCCTTTTCAAACCCCCTTCCAGCTCGAGGAGGGATACTTATGAGCTGTGAGACAACAGGAGGACAGAGGCTCTGTGAACCAAATTCACAGATTTACTCTGGAGACTGACGCTAACAGATATTGCAGCCAGAGTCTTCCCCTCTGAAGGCCTATAATATGCCAGACACTGATAATTTTGGCCTCATCCAACTTTATGCTCCTTCCACCATGATTCCAAACCCTTACTACCCATTGTTACACATGTTCTCTGGATTTCTGCTCATATAAATTATAAAATTTAAGTAGTTCTTTTGGAGGATAGCACACCTCCACATAGGTCACACTTTGTATCTCATCCTTAGGGGCCTGATGGAATTTGAGTCTAGTTACAGGTCTAGAAGCAAAGAGGGGTGGTGGGTGGTGGGTCCCGAGAGAATTAGCATTGTTACCTTAGGGGGAACCATTGCAGTTTCCTTGGACAAGTAGGGTTAATCCCCTCAGAGGGGCATAGGAGGTGGAATGGTAGCTACCCCGGGAGGTGGGGAGGCTAGTTCTACTGCAGGGAGGCCACTTCCACTGGCAAAGATGATGCATCAGAATTTAGGCGCTCAATGTCTCCAGCTTTATTAGGGTCTCCCCACATGTCCCTATTCCAGCTTACAGGATCCCATTCTTTCCTAGTCAATGCTTTCACGGTAACAGCAGACACCTTATAAGGCTGGGACTTCAACTTGTGTTATAATTCAGCCAGTCACAGGATGAGTCTATGCTTGATTTTCAGCCATCTCAGCCCGGAGGCTGCAGGAGACAAGGGTCTTTTCAGGGCACACATAGAAGCTTTCAGGTCACTTACGCATTGCTTGAGCTGGTAATTCCAATCCCTGAGCTCACCCCTTTCTGTCATCATCACTTTGTCCAGCAACATTAGAAGCCACCAGCCAATCTCATTATATTGGTTAGTTTTCTTAAAATGTTCAAAAGCAGCATATACACAGCCACTCAGACCCTTGCTTCTTATAAGTAACTGATTAGGTATACCCAATGCAGATATTTTATGGAAATCTTTTGCCCAATCACACCACGGATTATCAATGCTCTCTTTACTACTGGAAATAGAGTCATTTGCATCTTTAAATCTAATCGGAGTAGACAGCCAATTGCAGAAACCCTAGAACCAATTCAGAAAACTCATCCTTAACATTCTGTCCCTCTAGAACCGTTCTCAGTACCAAAATCTATATTAGTCTGGATTCGAGAGAGAGAGAGATAATGTTTATGATATAACATTTATATCATACTTTATATATTAAATAAAACTATAGTTAGGAAACAGCTCTGAAATACTTGATCTAAATGCCCAGATAAAAATCACAAATAAACAGTAAGTCCTAAAATACCATATTAAACAGATGGAGAGAGAGATTATAAGAAATCGGTTCACACAATTATGGAGGCTGAGAAGTCCTAACATCTGCAGTTGTCAAGCTGGAGACCCAGGATGGCATAATTCCAGCCTGAGTCCAAACGCCTGAGAAGCAGGAGAGCCGAAGGTGTCAGTTCCAGTCCGAGTCCTAGTCCAAAAGGAGGAGAAGATTGATGTCCTGGCTTGAAGACAGGTAAAGAGAGCCAATTCTCCCTTACTGAACCTTTTTCCCTATTTTAGCCTTCAATGGGTTAAGTGAGACCCACCTACATAGGGGAGGACAAGCTGCTTTACACAGTCTACTGATTTAAATGTTAATCCCTCCAGAAACACCTTCACAGACACACCAAGAATAACGTTGAACCAAACATTTGGGCAACCTGAGGCCCAGTCAAGTTGACACATACAACTAATCATCACCAGTGCAGCCCAAAAGGCAACTCTAAAATTCTTTACTCTTCCAGATGATTGACGAGTCAAGTTCTTATTAAGTATTTTAAGGCACAAATGCAAGTCAAGAAAAGAGGGCTCAAGTATTCACTGCTGGCTGGAATTTTCCCAAGAAGCCCAGTAGTGTGTAGACCAACCTATGACACCATCTTCACTTAGGGTTTGGATTCTGGTTTGGCCCTCAAGGCAGCCCTATCTGCTTAATAGGAGAATTACGTTCTCTTTATGGGTCTTCTGGATCAGATGCAGCATGAACGAATTCCCCAACCACCCCAGCCACCACCAAATGTGCTTTAGTCAACATAAATGTTCACAGCATCTGGTCCCTGGACAAGCTCATTAGGATCCTCTGAGGGAATGTGCTCAAAATGCAGACACCTGAGCCCCAATCCACATGAACAAAATCAGAATTTCTGGAAGTGCGTCAGGAAACTGACATTTGAGCAAGCTCCCTGGGTATTTCTTGGGCACACCAAAATCTGAGAACCATTGTTCTAATCCCACCTTGACAGAGTTTATTAGAACCAGGCCAGGCTCCAAGGTGAGAGGCATGATAGAAAGCTTACCAAAATTCTTCTCTTTGTCATTTGTCTTACAGCTGGAATTCCCTCATTCCTGGTAAATTCCGAACACCACAATTTTATCATGCAGCCATTAGAGTATCCAAGCAGCAAAACCATCAGGGGAGATGTTACGAGTGAGTTGAGGGGATTAGGATGATATTAACAAGTGGCTGAGTCCACGCTCCAGTTTTGCCCTTGGCCAATCCACATGGGCCCAGTGCCTCTCCAAGCCAGAAATTCTCTCTTTGTTCACACTCACTCAGAAACATAGGCAAAAAAAAAAACAAACAAACAAGCAAACACCATCACAAAGGCCTTCTTAGTAATCCAGGCTTACTATTTCTTACTGTTTAATGATTACATATAATGATTTTCAATCAAAAATTACAAGTGAATGTGGCAATGTGGTAATTAATTAGATTTCGCCTCCATCGGTGATATCAGAGAGAGAGAGGTGATTTTGCTTTGATATTAAACCAAGGCTATAACACCCCATCTCTCAGTTCTCCCTGCCTTTCCCTTCACCTCAACAGTTCTCTCTTTCACAGAATACCCACTTCCCCTGGGAGTCTCCTGGTTTCCCCAGCCATGTGCAAACAGGAAGAAATGCTGCCTAAAATCTTTTCCATAAAAAGCGTGAGCTTCAGAGTTCAACATATTTTTGAGTCCTGGCTTGCCAGCAAGCTGGCCTAATTATTTTACTGTCTCTGCACCAATTTCCTTGCTTATAAAATGGGGTTATTATACCTAACTCATAGAGTTCTTACATGAATGAGAAAACAAATCAAAATGACAACACTAGTTACATTGAATTATAGAGAGTTAAATAATTGAAAGGAAGCACAAAAGATTTATGGTAGGCAGTGAAATGCTGGTAAATATTTAAGCACTGGTTTTCCTAACCCCGCCCCTGAAAAAGCTCTGGTTTCTAGTGTTTGCCGATTTTTGGGGTG